GTGGGCACCATGGCGGGCAGCTGTGGGGCACGGGCTGCCTGCGGGCAGGGACACTCCAAGGAGACATGCAGTTAAGAACAGGAAAAGTTTGCCTGGATGGCAGCGTTATTAGTAATTTTTTTATAATTACTCAGCTTACTAGAAGAAGAAGGTTTTAATTTCAAAATAAAACCAACTCAGGTTGTGCAAAGTGCAAAAGGTGACCAGCCCTGTGACGCAGGGATGGGGGCGAAGTGTCAGGGCTTCCCCAGCCTTCTCGGGAAATTTGTGGCTTTGCAGCTGTTTCGAGGCAGGCCTGGCAATGTGGGCTGGGGATGTGGCCTCCATAAATCCGCCGGTGCTCCTGGAGAACCTCCTGTGCCGAAGGGCTCGGACCTCTGGGCCAGTTCAATCTCCTGGGAGCTGTAGGAAGCACAGCGTGGTCCAAAACTCGTAAAGGTGACCCTGGAGTTTTACATGGAGTTGTTCTACTGAACGACTTTGGGAGGAACTGGAAAGCTCTTGCTTTTGCTCTCCTCGAGAGATAAACCTTGGGGAATAAGCGGTTTTCCCTTACGGAGTGCGACAAGCAAGGCCACCGGCACCGAGGTGTCGGGGAGAGGTCAGTCCTGGGGCTGTGTGCTTCGGGCAGGGGGAAAGAATTTGCCTGCAGCTCCCAGAACCATCAGCAGCCAGCAGATCTTTCGCTCCTTTCTCTTGCAGGACACGTGCCCTGCGGCCTGATTTGCCACCCCGACGAGGAGCACATTCTCTATCCCCTGGGATGTACTGTGGTTGTTCAAAAGCTGGACAGTAAGAAACAGACTTTCTTGCACGGCCACACCAATAATGTCTCCTGCATCGTTGTGTCCAGGAACGGGGTGTACGTTGCCTCTGGACAAGTCACTTTCATGGGCTTTAAGGTGGATAATGCTCTGTTTTTAACTGCTTGGTGTTGAGCAAAGAAATTGGAGTTGGCTTGCCAGCAGTGGGAACACCTTTCGTTTGGTTTTTTGTTCCGTTGGAAAACAAATGCCTACGGTGGGAGGATGTTGCAGAGAGTGGGAAATCTCCATTGCTGGGGATGCCTTTATGGTTTTGTGAAGTATTAAGCATTCTCTGTAGGATCAAGTTAACTGGATTGAGGGATTTCTCAGTTCCGGTCCTTTTTATCCAAAGTGTTGTGGGCATATGGCAGCCTAAATCTCATTAGATGTTAATTAATAAATACTGTTATATTTGAAGTGAGACCTGACTTCCAGCGCTGCTTAGGACTTCCAAAAGCCCTTGACAGGTACCTACCTGCATTTTTAGACCTCCAAAGTTCTTTATGGTTTATTTTTTGCCTATTTCAAAAGACCCTGAGACACTTGGAAGGAATCGAGTATTAGTGTTTCAGTATTTTAAAATCTAAGCCAAACACTCTGTCTCAGGGTAAATTTTGATTCCAAAATGAAGCAGAGCTGCTCCACTGGTAAGCTGGAGTAATGCTTCTTACAGCACCTGATCCGAAGCGCGTTCGTGTCAGTGGAGCCCTGGGCTGGATAGAAGCTGACCTTAAGCTGGGCTGCCTCTAAGAACTTCCCTGCCAGAGAAAGTTGTTGTATCTAATCCTGCATGTTACACCTAATACTCTGGCTTTGACTCCTGCTTTCGCCTTCAGGCAGACATCATTCTGTGGGATTTCCCGAGGAAGGAGTTACTTGCTCGGCTGTCTCTGCATAAGGGCAGAGTTGAAGGACTAGCATTTTCTCCAAGCAGCCTTTATCTTGTGTCACTGGGAGGCCAGGACGATGGCAGGTAACGATTCCCTCTTCTTGGCCCACAATTCCCGACAAGTTGTAGGGCATCGAAGAATGCTTTTAAGGAGAACTTGCTCCTCACTCTTCTGGCAATCTGACCCTTTCCCTTGCTGATGTCTCTCCTCAATGATCCTGCTCTGGCCGATGGGAAGCCGGGTCGGTACCACAGGCAGAGCACAGGGTATTGGGAAAGATGAAGGGAGCAGCTAATTTTTAGGCTGGTGTGGTCAGCTAGAAACCTGCACAGCTACCTGCCTTAATGTAGAAGCATGAATTTCACTGGGGGCTTGCTTGGACACACAGACAACTAGGAGTGGAATAAAAAGTTATTTTAAACTGGATTCTGCAAGTGGCCTAAGATACGATTTGAGTCTCGGTCAGCAGAAGGAATATAAGTGATACACATACCTTTGCTTTAGGAGGATAGGATGTAAACTGCAATTCCACACGTTTGTGATAAGGATTTCCTTGAGTAAAATCTCGAGTAAAATCTCTACAAATGACTTTTATTACGTATCCTGCTGGGAACAGACTGCAGAAAAATAGGTTTCGTCTTGCTTTTGGTTTTAAGTAATTTGTTTTTAAGTAATTGGTTTTCAAGTAATTTGTTTTCAAGTATTTAAAGCCCTTCCTTCTCCTGCAGTGTGATTGTGTGGCACGTTGGTAAGAGAGAGGCTGTCTGCGGGAGCCCTGCCTCGGCACGCAACGCGGGGAGCGCGACCATCGTAGCGTGCTCCAGCTGCAGAGACGAGATGTTTGTTACTGCTGGAAAGTAAGGTTTTGTCTGGATGAAAGAAATGAGGGAAAGAACCCACGGACCTATTTCCTTTTGCAAAGAGTCTTTACTTAAGTACAAGGAAACTTAAGCAACTGTGTGCTCATGTTTTTTCTTTTTGCTCTAAATGGACCCGCGAATATCCGTCAGTTTGTCCCTTTAAGGCATTTCTTCTTGTTCTACACAAAACAATGTGTTTTCAAAGCAGCACACAGAGACCTGCATGCATCACTTCTGTTCCTGATAGCAGGATTTTGTACTCAGCATTCCCTGTGCAACGTTTAAAATATTTAGTTGCCAGTGTTTACACAAGAAAAGCAGTCAATGAGTGGCTCTGGACGATGGTTAATTAATGTAGAAACAATGATCACTTGCAGGTCATTGGGTCATCTCTTATCCTCACCAGATGTGACATACGATTGGTCACTGGTTTGTAACAAAAGTTGGTACAAAAAGTCACATTTTTGCATGGATTTGAGACAGCCCCCATACATCTAGCCTGACATTTAAAGGTGCTGAGGACCTACAGCTCCATTTACATCAGCAAAGGCTTTAGATGCTCTTGCCTGTAGTTGCACTGATCAGTGTACAAATGTGAGGGTGACTGTGTGTAAAGATGTTATATTGGCTCCTAGGTTGTCAATCAAACTCTGCTAGAAAATAGTTGAAAGTGTCCCCCAACATTCGTTTCCTGTTCTAGGAACTAAGATTCCATCAGTGCCTGCCTCTCTGGGAAATGAGTGTCAAGGTTGTTACATACTCCTCTGTAACCCTCATACATGTTTTTGCTGAACCTTTAAGAATTTTATTTACCCAGAGAAAGTTACTGTAAGAGACAGCAGAAAAGACACAGACTTGCTCAGGCCTCTCTGATACTGTTCTTTTTCCTTCTTATTAAAATTTCAGAATAATATAGCCTTGTAAAGGCTTTCTAATTCATCTAGGAGTGAAAGAACTCGGATGTTTCTGCATATATGGATTTGATCCTGCTGTATTCTTTCCCATAGTGGGACCATTCGAGTATGGGAACTGGATCCAGCAAACAGGAAAATCCTACCGACTGAGTGCCAGACAGGGCATCTGAGAAGAGTAAGCACATGTGTTAAGGTAAGTTTCAGCCAAAATGATTTGGCTAAACTGAGAAACTCTCAACAGACTAGAGAAAAACCGTGAGCTTTTATAATAATGCTAGAAATGCCAACTACAGCTGCATGATGGCGGTGAAGTTACTGTTGGCTCATGGCAGATGGTCTCCCACAGTTTCTTTATCCTGAGAAAAGAGTGTTTTGCATGCTTCTGAAGAGAGCAGCATGTATTGTAGTCAGAGGTGCTAGCACCCAGAGAAACCCACTTTTGCTTCGAAATATTCTCTAGATTTGGTTAGAAAACATCTTGCATTTAGCAGTGTTATGGATCTTTGAGTGTGGCAGGAGGAAAACATTGGCTGTATCCTCTCAGATGAGGTCTTGGCAATACACTGAAATAAAGCTGTTTGTGCAGCCCGGTGCTGGGCTCGGGACAAATGCCTCGCTCTCTAGACTATGATCTCCTTTTTTATGCTTTCCTATAGATGGCAGATGATGATAATTATTTTTATGTTGGCACATCCAGTGGTGATATCCTGAAAGTGGATACAAAGCACAAGCTGGTGGTTGACTGTAGGCCCCAGAAGAAGAAGTTTAGCGTGGTGAGTAGTAGCTCTGTGACTTTTTCCTTATCCTCCTCTTTGTTAGAAACTGGAAGTAGGGCAACCTTTAGGAGAACCATTACAAAGCTGATTCACAGACTAACCCTTTTTCTGTGCTATGAGTTCTTTGTGAGTGTCTCTATCCGGATCCTGGAGTCGCAGACTGCCAGCTTGGCTTTGTTCAGTTTCATTTGGCTCAGAATTTGGGTTTTACCTGAATCTCATTGCGTCATCCTACAGACTCTCTCATACTAAATCTAGTAAAAGTCATAAAAAGTGAAAAATAAGCATAAAAATGGAGTAGTTCCTGAGTTGGGTTTTTTTTTTTGAGGGAGATATTAGCTGGAGTGAGACAGAGGACATTCCTAGGAAGACTGGTAGAAGTGCTTCTTTGAGAGGCCTTCCCACACTTGCTACTATAAGGTGCTATATTCAGATCTTACAGATTTTTTAAATTGCCTGTGCTGAAATTTTCCAAGACCACTGTTTGCCACAGGAAGAGTATTTTGAAAAAAACTTCAGAATACTTCAATTGCTCTTAAAAAAAAAAACCCACCCCAACCCCCCTAGATTTTTCTGTGTTTATTCCCCATACTGTTCCTCCCCCTCCCCTTCAGGAGATCGTCCTTTTGAAATTCTGCTTCTGCCACTGCTGAGGCAGAGGTCTTACTGACAAAGATAGTACTGATAATATAATTAAAGAGTTTATTAAAATGCATGTGCATAATTGGGCCAAAACAAGGTTGCACAGAGTACCTTGATTCTATTGCTTTTTAACTTCTGAGTGCTTGACTTCATAACCCCAAAGTTCTTTGAACTTAGCTTTTTTCCTCTATAATTGGGACTCATGGGTCTCAGTGTGAGTATCCTCAGACAGGAGTATCTCCTAAATATGGAGGTGTTGGCCTTTTGTTGTACAAGAATTCTGCATGCAGGGAGCTAGGATGATAAACGATAGCACCAGCTAGTACAGTTCTTGATTTCTCTTTGTTTCTTGCTATAAAAGACTTCTTGTAGCTTCTCAGTTTACACCCAGTGGAGGGAGTGATACCTGAGGAATTCAAACACTTCCCTTCTTGCATAAGATTGAATGTATTTTGCAATTCTATGAGCAACCATGAAAATCAGTGAGCAGCAGGGGAAGAAGTGCAGATGGAAGCACCCAACGTACTGTTAGGGATGCCACGGGGAAGCTGTCCTACAAAGCAGCAGATCTTGTTTGAGGGCAAACATGAGACTAACAAGAACTGTAATAAAAATTCAGTGTTAAACCCCAAAGAAAAAGCTACTCTGGACTTGTTTCTCTAAACCTCCTGAACTTTGCTTATACCAACACATGTACGTGCAAACCATATACGTGCCCATTCAAAACGTGGTGTTTCTTGCGTTACAAACGCAGGCCCAAATCTTTGGGATAACTTGGAGCCACTGAGCTCTTCGAAATATATTTCAATGTTTATCTGTTCCAGAAGGTTGGAGAAGTTATTATTTGTTTTCCCACTTGCATTGCAGGAATGTAAGTAATTTAATTCTGTGTACGTATTAAGTGACAAGAATGTATGTATTTTGTTTTCCTGGTAGAAATCACAATTTTGCTGAAGGTGCATTAGAGCTCTTGTGGGTATATAGGTACCATACTCTCCAGCAGACTTCCTGCAGGATTTTGCATCCACACAGGACCCATGCCCTGGCTGATCTCTGCTGTCTCTTATGCCAAAGTCTTGATGATTGAATATCACCTCCCCTTTTAAATGCTTGCACACTTTGAGTCCTTCTACATCTAGCATTGCCTGTGCCTTGCCTAGAGAAGCTGGTTGAAACCACGCAAGGTCCTGAACTACCTTGTGTTTGAAACAAAACTCCACAAAAAACACACTTCTGAGACTATTGTTAAAGAAGTGATCAAATAGGGTCATTAGCAGGATGCTGTGCAATTTGGGGGTTGAAAGAGACCACTAGGGCCTCTTAGAGAAAAGCAGAGGCTCAAAGCCAGACCGTGGTCCAATCCAGACTGTGAGGGGTTTTGCCATAAGGTAAATCCATAGGAACCGCCGTTTGTGGCAGAGACCTTTGGAGCATCGCGAGCTTCAGCTGACGTTGCTCATGATGGTGAGAAGCTGAAGGAAAACAGGACCTTGCACCATGCAATAGACTGACAAGATGGTAGGGAGAAGATCCAGAAGTGGATCTCATCACAGCTGCCTGCCAGCTCTGTGGAGGAGACCTGAGCTGGTAGGCATTAATCTGACTTAAACTTCATTTTATTAGTGCTGTGTAACGGCAGCTACTTAAGATGCTGGTCATTTTGGGAGGAGGAAGAGAAAAGAGATGTTCACATTGGATGGAAACAACAAGTAGTGTCTCCAAACACCTCCTTTACCCTGTTGCTTAAAAGGGATGTTTCTGGTCAAAGACAGGCTTTTCACTCAGACATGTGCTCAACCCTGTCACCCCTTCTGCTCTTGCTTTCCTCCTCTCTGCTCTCTCCCCTCACTCTTACCAGTGCTGTTTCCATATGCCTGAAACAGGAAATTCATCAGGGCAAACCTCAATTGTTGCAGTCAGTGAGACTGTGCTGGTACGTTTTTATCTCCAGCTACTGTCAGATCCACTTTCATACTTTCCAGCTGTCCCTTCCTAGCTCCGTGCTGTGATTCCCTTTCCACCCCCTCCATTGCACATCTCTGCATACAAATAATACCTTGTCACCAGACTGTCAACAAGTCCTTGCTGAACACACGTAGGATCTAATGTTTTATGGCAGAAATTTCTGCTTGTAGCGTAGCCTTCAACGCCAGAAGGTGTATTTTGCAGATGTTTTTTCAAGTCAAACCCACAGCATTTATCAAAACAAAAGTATTTGCATCCTTGTTTCTACACAATTTAGTACATCATATTGCTAATCCTGGGAGAAGTGTTGATTGTTTTTTTTTTTCCCCTGCAGAGCTGTATTTCACAAGATCTCTTTTGTATCTTTTGTGGAAATGCACCATGTGTTAGTACTTGTAACAAAAGTTCTCACCTCTCTAGCTGTGCAAAGCAAAGCTGCCGTGTAGCTTGTTTCAGAAGTGAGCCATGCCCTTTCAAGGCAGGCATGACTGCTCCAAAGCATGGCTTTTAGGACATGCCCTGCCTTTCCTCACCAGGCATTGCCCCCTCTCCCTGGCTGGAAGGTTGGCTACAGCCTCCAGGGCTGGAACTGTCCCGGCCTCCCTCCCCATGGAACCATTTTTATCACTTCATTGCAATTCTGTCTGAAAATACACATATTAATGCACAAATATTATCCTGTATCTCTGAAAGCCTTGTTCACCAGTCACACCGAGGAATTATGAGCCAGTGGCATACCATGAAACTCTCAACCTGGAATCCACAGCCACCCCACGATGAGCTTATCTTTGAAGAAAGAGCTTAGATACTGCTTGGGTGAGGAGAAGATGTTTGTGGAAAATAAGTTTGGTCAACGTTAAAGGAACTTTGCCTTTAGATATCTGAGAATGTGTTTATTATATGGACATGATCTGAAGATTGCTTTGTTTCTGTTTTGAAGAGGAGTGGTGGAATAGTTCACTGGTATGATGAAACAACTTGTTTTCCATCTACCTGGAATTAAGTTTAAGTGTGTTTCTGTAACGTCTATAAATACCAGAATAAACAGCAAAATTAATTTTTATCCCCATTGCAGGCTTGAGGAGCTATGAGGCACCCGTTCATATCCAAAGTGGGATGTACGATTGCAAATGCATTTTCAGAAATAGCTGGAGTGATTTGCATTGAAAAAAAAAATAAAATAAAATTAAAGGAGGTGTGCTGGAAGAGTTCATAGGGTGCTCAACAAGTTTGCAAGAGATCAGAATGGGACAAAGAGCAAGTATCCCTGCAGGCAAGGGAATGGGCAGGCTGGATTTTTGCTGGTATTTTTTATTTATAATTGTACTTCAAAGCAGTGGTTTCTTTTTGTAAGAAGTAAATAATGAATGGTGATATTTTTAACCTCCTGCATTAGACTCTGCATTTCATCTACAAGAGGACTGGCAGGGTATAAAATAGTGTATTCATCACATCCTTAACGTGAACTGCTAGACTCCACGGATTACAAATGCCACTTATAAAGTGATCTGTTTACTCGTGGTGATTCAAAGAACAGACTGGACAAGAAAGGAGCACAATTGTCAAGTTAAGGTTGAAATCAAAATCTGATGATTTGGAGAGCCTGGCAATGAATCCTGGCCACTTCAAGAGCTTTTTTTCTGTCTTAATAATAGCCACCTCTCTCTCAAATTGAAGAACTGAAGAAAATACCTTGGAAAAAATCGGAGCAGTCTTGGCAGTGCTGCAAAAGCTTCAATTTATTAGCAAGTAGCAGGGAGCTGTAATCAGATAAACTGCGTAGTCATAGGTTTGATTTCTAATGCAACCACCTGCCATAATGCTAAACCCAAAGGGCGTTTGAGGTGGAAGGCTTTTCCAGGAAAAACTGCAAAACAGCACATCAAAAGACAGTCGATGGGCCTGTGATAACAGGGAACTTGCAAAACGCTGCCAACGCCTCGTAGGAAATTTTTGAAAACATTGTTCAGAAACAGTTCTGCTTGTGGATCATATTTCTAATTAAAAAGAATCCCTTTGTTCTCATGCTTTTGCTAAGAATATTTGCATGAAACCTGGCTCTCTGCCTGGTGGTGTTGTGATAGTATGGCATAAAACCCTCTCTGGAGGTCGTGTTTTTCACAGTGACAGCTCCTGATATTACAGGAGACTGTGGATATGCTACTGGTGGAGAAATCCAGTGCAATTAAACTACAAATCAGGAATTTTTTTTTCAATTTTCTTTTTCTGCAATCCTCATTTATTTGATCCTGAAGTTAAATAGTCCTGAAGCTGATGTGTAGGTAGGTGCAAGGCTGCCTAGAATGCCAGTGCTGCAACGCACAGTTACCTATATGGTGATTTCTTTTTTTTCCTTCAAAAAGCCTAAGCAAGACTTAAAGCCAACCAATTGCTTCTTCTTGGATGGATAATTGAACCAAAGTAATTTTTCCAAATTGTCTGTGGCTTTTGCAACGTCCTCTCTGCATCTAAATGGCTCAAATGTCAGTTTTGTTTTCTCTTCTTTTTTCACTTCCTCTCTCACCTTCCTTAGTGCTTCAGTCCTCTTCACACAGAAAATCAACACTTTCTGGCTTTTATTCTTTGAAACACTCTGAAAGCATTTAATCCTGAAAATTTACTGGGGTTAGACCAGATTAATGCTTGAAAAGAACAGGAATGCTGGGTGGTGCTGCTTAGGTGCCAAACTTTATCGTAAAGTGCTGACACCTGAATTTGTTCAAAAATCACAAGCCAAGCACGTGACAGTCATTTCTCCCTCAAGAATAAATGCAGAATTATTCTGATTTGCCTCTTGGTTATTATACTTTGAGAATTCATTTCTTCACAAAACTAGATGCTAGAGGTGGAGAGTTTTTTTCGCAGAAAACACTCCCCCAGACTGAAATTGTTGTTTTCACAGAAGGGCTGTATGAGCCAGGGCTTAAAGGAAAAAAATCCTGATGTCGTGCAACTGCTGGTGCTATCGCAACAGTTGGCAGTGGTGCTTATAAACCCAGGGAGTGGCAAATGGTGCTGGAGTCTGGGCTGGAACTGAAAATGTCAAACTCAACAGACTCCTTACGAGTCCCAGGGAGCCTGGAGCTGCTCCCAGCTGGCCTGTCGGATTTGGAACAACTGACAGCCATGAGTTTCTGCTCTCGTGGCAAGAGTGGAAGTGCCTCCCATACGCGTTTGCTTCATTTTCAGTCCAAGTTTTGATGGCATAAAGCTCCTTTATTTCTTTTTTTTTTTTTCCCTTTCCATTTTGCTCACATGTATTTTGCCCCAAGCTCGTAGGGATATTTTTCGGAGTAAGAATATCAGGATTTAACCCTGTACAAGTAGGTTCACCCCTCTTGCAGCCTATTTTGGAGTCTCTCAGATTTCCAAGGATTAATCTGTAGTCTTCTATATGGGAGAATATTAGTTCACATGTAGCAGAACTGAAGCAGAGACTGACTTTTCTTATACTTGAAATGCTGTGGCAAGGCTAAGGACTCTGTTGGGTTTGTTGGTTTGATTTTTTTTTTTTACTGTAATCTGGTACTTTATCCACAGGAAACTATTTCTCCTTTTTCTAATGGCTGACCTTCCATTGATCTACTCATCTTAGTAAATAGTCAAAACCCATGTTGATGATGTCCTGACTAATTTCCAAAGCTTTTCTGAGACAAATGTGTTTTATTACTGATAGGTGGGAGATGAGATTGCATCTTTTAGACAGGGAGAGAGGCCTGGGACACAGAGGATCTGTCCTAAAAGCAGCTGTAGGAAAGGGCACTTAGGCTGAGTTTTATCCTCCGTTGTTTCCGTGTCTGCTGGATGAAGAACCAGTGGAAGGAAAAGTGGAGGCACTAACACAAAATGCGTGTATTGCTTGCTGGAATGAGGTAAGGATAGGCTCCTACATGGTCCCAGCTGCTCTGAAGGATCCATGATGATGCTGTTTACTTGCTTCTCATACTGAAGTAGTTCATACATACCTGTAATTAACAACTGTTTTCTCCCTTCTCTCTAGTAAATCACTCTTTAGCCTCGGTCAGTCAAAGAATACAGATAAAGCCAGATTTGAGTGACACCAACACTGCCACAGGCAGCGTGAGAGAGAGCCTGTTGTGCTGTTCAGATAAAGACATTCTGCTTCTATCCAATTGTGTTTTAATCTTGTTTTCTCCTAGGGAGTCACAGCTTTGCTCTTGCTGAAGTCAGGAGATTCAATAGTCAGCACCGGAGAAGGGACCGTAGCTCTCTGTAAAGGCTCAAACTACAAAGTAATGAAGTGAGTCTGTAGACGGGAGAATCAGGAGGGTAGAAGTGACTGTTCCCCCGCAGGGTCACGGTGTAAGAACCAATTGTTTCTACGTAAAGGCACCATCCAAATAAATCTCAGTTTTTCAGTCCTGCAGACAAAACAGACAGTTTGGCTCCAGCCTAATGAAGTTGCAGCGAACTGAAAATTACTGCGTGCCTGTGCACGGAAGTGAGCTGCCCTACTCCTCGTTCACTTTAGGTGGCCACTGTTTCCTTTCAGGCATCGGGAGTCAGATCCTAAATTGAGGCAAAGTGAGACAGGTCCGTTGAAGTCGGTAACATGACGCTATTTACGCCTGCTGAGAACGAGCAGGATTTGCCATCTGAAAAAGGGTTCGCTGAGGGCCATGGCATTGCAAAGGAGGGCTCCACCAATTTTATAGGCACATGTCTGGAAGTGCTGGGGTACGTGCAAGGCTTTTTTCTGCATATAAAGCAGAAAGCTGCAAGAGTCATTCCCCCCTACATGCCTTGAAAATTGGGCTTGCAGCTATTCATTCGGCATTGTTCGAGTACCCACCTTAAGCATACAGTTCTACAAGCTTAGGTTTGTACAACTGAAGCTATTCCCAGAAGATCTAAACTGTCTGGAAGTATTCTTGAATATGAGATATTTAAGTGCACTTGAGCAAGAATATCAACAACGTGCTGTTATGTTGGGCCCTGGTCCAGAAAACAAAGTCTCCAAAGCACTGCCTTTGCATGCCCTGGCAGATGGCACGTGGGACAGGCAAGATCCTAGGAAGTATTGGCATGTGACTGGGAATGAAACGTTAGCCCTGACCATGTTCTTGCATATTGCTGTCACGGCCTGGTATGGAGCTTTTGGGGAAGCAAGGAAAGTGCTTATGATTCCATAAAGTCAGGGAAAAAGGGAAGCTGGAAAATAAGTACCTCAAGGTCAATGGCAGGCCAAACGTCTGCTTTCTCTTAACAGGAAAATTCAAGTTCAAGGTGGTGTCACTTCCCTGACATGTGGAGGTCAGAGTCACCAGTTCTTTGCAGGGACAAATGAGTGCCACATTTATCAAATTAACTATGCTGATTTTAAAGAGGAGCTGATCACTGCCTGCCATAAGGAAGCCATCCACGACATCGTTTTTCCTTCGTGAGTATGACTGGCTGGGATGCTTTTGGCTAGCAAAGAAGTTTGGTAGGTTGCCAACACCTATGTAAACACCTTTTAACCAACGAGAACCCAAAGCCTATTAACATCCTTGCAGGATGGTTTGTACAGGCAACGCTGTCACCTACCAGTGAAACGCAAGGGTGACAGTGAGCGGCTGCTGGAAAGCAGAAGGCAGCAGTTCCGTTTGAGAACTGGAAAAATCACTGATCTACAGAAAGAATTCTAAATAACAAGACTAGAATTCTTTATGTTTGGGTAACGGCAGTGAAGGCCACCTCCCCCTTCTTCCCCAGGGTTGGTGCCATGAGTCTCAGGCCGCTTGATCTGCCAACAGTGTGAATCCTGAAGGTCTGCTTTTGTCTGCCCTGTGGCATCTAGAGCTGGTAGAGGGATCTGCTTTTCTACCCACTTGTAACATCAGCTGAAACCTGACTAACAGAGCTGTTCAAAGAGCCTTTTGGGTCGCTCAGCCTCACTTTTGATTTCACGTTGGACGAGACGGCACGTTACATTAAATTCTAGGCTTGTGATGAGAGATGCTGGGTATATTGGTGCGTCTTCTGCCTGCATTCGTCTTGTGAACAGGCAGCAAACATTCCCTCTTCCTGGGTAGTAAGATCGTGACACTTTATTTAAAAAGCCAAAGCACAATAGATGGGTTGTTTCCTCTCCAAATAGAGAACAGGGGTTTGATCCTGATGAAAGTTTCTATTTTTGACGTGTTGTTATTGCATCACTTCTTGACACGGCACAAAGGATCAAATCTTACGGAGGTACGGCAAAGTGCTCACTGCAAGAAGCCCTCCTCCCTGCTTGACACCAGCCTGAAAAATCCACATCCTTCTAATTTAATGAGAAAACCACTTGGAGTTTTAGGGTAATCTGATGCTGATACACCTGCCTGGCACATCTGTGTCACAAAGGTATTTGGATGAGCTGGATTTAGCGATGATTGTAATGCTGCAGGACTACATCCTTGCATATATGTTTGAACTTTTTATCTGTTAACTGCCCTTGAACGGAGCATATCTCTGGTTGGGAAGTACAGGCTTAATTTCCCTGTTCTGCCTCATTTCAGAATGCTTACAGTTGCTGAAGTTATCCTGCTTTATAAAGCACTCGCCCAAGCTGGGCTTGAAAGGGGCTGCACTTTTGTTGTGCCAGTTTTCTCTGCCCTGGTTCATCTTTTCGGGCATTGATGGCGATGTTGAACAAAAGCACATGGTACCTTTCTAGATTTCAGTTCCTGTCATATCCCTAGGATGTGCGGTTTAGAGCTTATTTCAGAGCATTCAGTCCCATGGCTTTTGAAATGCTGCACATCTTTTTTATTCAAACACGTATAGCAAGTATATTATGAACAGGCTTTTGCCATCGTCTCGGTTGCCTTCAGCAATGCTGAACAGGAATCATCCAGTAAGCAAGATAAAAAATGACATCTTTACAATTTTGAGGCTGCTCTTAGTCCCTGATGTTAAATCTGGGCAGTGAGCACCTCTGCACCCACTTTTGTGTCTATTATATGCAACACGTGAAGTTGTTTAGAGATTGAACATGGGAAATAAATGTCACCTTTTCAGTAGAAAGAGTTCTTTTAGTTTCGCTTTAACTGTTCCTTAAAATGAATCTTTGGATAGAAACCAAACCAGGAGAATTTTATGTGAGAAAGGTGATCCTACGAAAAAGGCCTTTGTCTTAACCGTGGTGATCCCTGTTGGGAAGATTACAGTTGCAGTTTAGGAAGAGCTAGGCTTCAAAGGATGATTTAGCATCCGACAAAGAAGTGTTTTCTGTATGCCCCTCCTCGTTATCTCTCCTCTCTGAATTCTCCAGGGGAATTTCTGACTTGTTTGCTACCTGTTCCAAGAATGACATTCGGGTGTGGTACACCCCCGACCACAGGGAGCTCCTGCGAATCGTCGTCCCCAACACCACCTGCTATGCCATAGATATTACGAGGGATGGCAAGAGCATCATTTCAGGTAATGGTCAGTCCCGACCCACGGTTGAGTCCAGTCTTCAGGTGTTGCCCAATTTAATAAACATCAGTATGTTAGAATGAAGAGAGGATTAAACTGGGATGGGTTTAAATTCAATTCATTGCTTGACCCAAGGGCCTCTTTGCTTCCAGGTGGTCCAATGAGCTTTGCTCACGACTCCTGGCATCCCAATGCTATAGTTGACAGTGTCTGTGGAAGGCAAGGTTTTGAGACCTCGCTTTGGATGTGAATTCCAGCAATTCAGAACTCAGTTTAGTCTTATTCGAAAGACCTAATTCTAAAATACTGACCTTGTTGTATGCAACAGATATTAACCTACGATGTGTGTAGAGCACCTTTTGCATAAACTTGCTACCCATCACCATATGTGAATTCCTTACACAGGAACTACTGCAGTCCCAGAGCAGAAACCAATTTGTCCCTAGCCAGAACCAAAAAGGAACTGGATTTCAGTAGTTTGTTTGAGACTGTAGCTCTGTGGGCTCATCGACAATACAGCGGTTTTCACACCTATACTGATGATCTAACAGGGTGGGCCTTATAAAAGAACTTAATAAAAAACCAGATTCATTTGGAAAGGGAAGAGTGACAGTAATAAGAGGAAAGTCTGTGTGCCTGGGTAATCTGTTTTTTTATATTCATCAGCTTGGAGCGACCGGAAAATCCGCGCCTTCAAGGGGGAGACTGGACGGCCAATGTATGTGATTAATGACGCCCATAGCTTGGAAGTGATGGCCATTGCTGCTACGAGGGACTGTAAACGGATCATTAGTGGAGGAGGTGAAGGGCAGGTAATTTTTCCTTAAAAACCTGGAGCAGCTTCGTGCTCTCATCACAGGGCCTGGGAATTGTCTGTAACTGCTTAGTCAGAAAGGGAGCTATTCTTAGTTTCACTCGAGCAAAGGACCGAGTTCGAAAATATTAGCTTTTGATATATGCAAATCTCTTGCTCTCAGAGGGCATAATGTAAAACAATGCCCCGATTTCTCTGTCGTGGTAGTCTTGGAAATCCTTCTAATGCAGAATATGCTCTTAATCCTTTTTGTTCATTCATCTCTCCCCTATGTTTGGCTTATCTGCATTAGTCACTGTGTGCAAGCCTCCGTCTAACGGTGCTGTAGCACAGATTTTCTTTCTGTCCTCGCTTTGGAAGTCCTGCTCCTGCCCAAATCGACCTACATGAATTCATTTAATAGCACAAAGTTCACTTTCTATCGCTATAGTGTCTATGGGGTAACTTCCTAATTTCCTGGGACGAGACTATCTGGTCTAGGTGGTGTTAATAAAAGACTCTACAATAGCTCAGTTTCTAATACAATTATGGAAACATTCCAATACAAATAACAATAAAAATCAGAAAGCATGTTGTAGGCATTGTACCAGTGCAGTTCAATAATTTTTTTCTGGCCATACAAAACAAACACCGTGTACTTTGGCTACTCCATGGACTTCATATAGCAGTGGCCCTTTTCAGGCTGTAAAAGTGACACTTCTCTCCTAATGTTTAAATAATTTAAACATGGGGGGGTTATTTATATTAAAAATAAATAATTGGGCTCGTGTTCAGTTTCTCGCCTTGCTTTGGACTTCCTCTCTGCAGTCTGGCAAGCACTCCAAACCAGACATTTAATTGTGTGCGGATTTCTGACTGTGATTTAACTGCTTTGTGCTTTGCCTGTGTACCCTGATCTCGAGTGTTCAGTGTGCCATGCTGGAGGTTGCATGGGAAGCTTGGAAGCGTGAGGAATTGAACGTAGGTCTTGCAAGTCTCAGGCTAATGTCCTCATCATTGAACCATCTTTCGGAATCATTCTGCACTTCAGCTCTCCTGCAGAGCAGTAACAGCAGCACTGCCTTGTCTCACTGCATAAAGACCTTAGAGATGGTGAGCCACTTCAACCCTTCGCTAATAAAAGAGCAGTTAAGTACCCTGGATGATTAGCAACCAAGAATGCAGGAGATGGAGGACCTAGATTCTGTATCAGCACATGCAGAAGGCTCTGGTTAGTTGATCTCTGAGTTGAAAAAGACAGCTGAGACAGAATTAAAGCTAAAGGTTGGTTAAGTAGAAATGAGAACTGCAGGGGAGCACTTGCAGCATTCAATCGGGACACAGAAAAAGGTGTTCTGAAATGCTAATGGTTCTGCCAGAATCAGTCATCTGAGAGCTGTGACTTTCAGGGTTGCTTAAGGGATCTGGATGCACTGATCATTTAGCAAGTGGGAATTGGGCCTCCAGATCCCAGAGGTAACTCGGTATCAGACCTGAAAATGTGGAAGGTCAGCTTTCTCTGCTTTTAGTGTCAGAGTCTACATTTCTGAATTTTCTCTAGGATTTGACCTTAGCAGAATGTAAAAGCAAATAGATAGCATGAAGTTTGGCACAAGTGAGAGAGTAAATGCAAGGTGTGAAGGATCAAGTCCTCAAAGAAAAAAGATTTTTGCTGTTACCACCACTCGGAAAAGAGATGCTTTCAGGCACATATTTCACATCAAAGATTTAAAGAGCTGTTTTGTATTTACTTACTGGCATTATATGTAGCACAAATAGCAGGTAGCTTTTTTATATTTCATTGCAGAAGCCTCTGTCTTTCATCTTTAAAGCACTGCTGGAAACAGATCATGGACTAGATGCTTTTTCCTGATCGAGAGATGAGTAACTGAAGCATGGGAGAGTGGGAACTTGGCAAAAACAAGGTCTGGGGTTAATGGTCAGGAATTCCTGAACCAAGTGGATTACACTCTCAAGAACTCAGTTCAGTTTTATGAGTCAGCCACGTGAATGACCCACAGGAAAATAGAGACAGTCCGTGGAGATTCAGTTCCTGTAGGTGTTAAAAGAGAAACGCAGAGTTCAGGAAAGCCGTGGGCATCCTCCTGAGCTCAGTCAGGGCCAGGTGGTACAAGAGCAGATGTTTGTTGCTAATTTTCAGGTGAAGGTCTGGGAGATTGGTGAGAAGACTCAGAAACTGGAGGAAGCTCTGAGGGATCACAGATCTGCTGTGTCCTGCATTAAGATTAAGAACAACGACAAAGAGTGTGTCACAGCCAGCCTTGATGGAACATGCATCATCTGGGATATTGTGTAAGCAGACAGATAAGTATTGCAAGGCACTTAAAGTGCTGGTAATGTCTCTCTTGGGCCACTGTGCTCTACTTGGGACACCATATGGCGAGGAGGAGGGGAAAAAGAGCGTTAGGAAATAAAAATAACTAGAAAGAACAAACAAGCCAGGGAATGTAGAACCTCCAATGCTAGAAACTTTTCAGAAAAATTTAGACAAACGTTTGCCTTATGTCATTTACTTGTATTGGATCCAAGGTGGTGGAGCAGGTGATTTCTTAAGTTCCTCACTAGCTCCATTTTCCAGCAGTGTGGGACTCGTGTCGCGCAATTGCAGATCTGCAGACTTTCTTCGTTGTGGTAAGGATAAGGAAATTTTTGTGTACTGAATAGCACCAAGGAAGCATTCTGGATTAAAAAAAATATTTCATAGGACAGAAGATCAAAAGTCTTACAAGGCAGCTGTGATGGGGAACAGAACTGATGACCCTAGTAGGCTTCAGGAAACCCTGAACTCAGACCAATACCTGAAAACACTCAAGTAGAAAGAGAGATGTGAGGTATTGCACAGGCAGAGATAGTCCAGGCAAAGTTCGGGTTTTGACTCTATTGCTTTATCCTGTTTTGGGGGTGTTTTGCAGGCATTTGATAAGAAAACAAATGATCCAAGCCAACACAATGTTCAAATGCGTGTGTTACAATCCTGAAGGGTACCAAGTAATCACCAGTGGAACAAACAGAAGGGTAAGCAAAACTGCAGGAATTATTTTTGCGGTAATTCCAAAACGCAAAGTCTGGGGCTCGTTATGTGATGAAAATCCTGTACCTCCACAGACGTTTGTGTTACAGGGCAGTGCTGAAATCCATGTGCTGTTCATGCCCAGCTGAACTCTTCTCTCTGGTCTGCCCTCTAGATTGGATACTGGGAAGTGTTTGATGGCTCTGCACTCAGAGAAGTGGAAGGGTCTGCATCGGGTTCCATCAATGGGATGGACATCACATCAGATGGGGCATGCTTTGTCACAGGTGAGTGAGTAAGTGGATGAAACTAGAAAAGAGGAGGTCATATTAAAAGCAGGAAAAGGAAGGCAACGAACCCAGGATCTCAGTAAAGAACGAAAAAGCTAAAAGAAGGGGTCAGCTAATGGGAAAAATAAAATGAATGACTGAAGGAAAATACTTAGAAAAAGGCTGTGGTTCAGACTTGGAAGATACCATGGTTCAGTCTTGCAAGATGTAATTTAAAGGTGAGGACAAGGTTCAGATGTCTCCAAGGGAAGAACACAGGGTTTCATCTTGCCCTGCTCCTCATTTAGTTCAGTGGCGTTCACTGTGCGCTTGAGTGATTTGTTCAAGCACCTGACTCCAGAAGCCTGGCAGTCTGTGCCAGCCTGCAAGTGAGAATGGCTCCAGGCTCCATCCAGCCTCAGGCTTGCATGTTCCCCACCATCGTGACGTCTCTTCTGGGAGCCTAGCCCTAGCACAGATGAGCCATGGTATCGTGTATATCAAGAATAGTTAAAACCCACGGATTTGGTGTCAGCACCAGTTCTTTTAAATTATCCTCCTAAATGAATGTTGGTTAAGAGCATTTCAAAGACCCTGAGTATTACTGGTACCAGTTGTTGGCCATAGCGCGCTGTGAACTGCTGGTGCAGGTCCTGAGCACTGTACTGGACACTGACTTTCTACGTCAGTTGAAAACAAGTAGTTTTTGCCTCAAGACTGTGTATCCCACCCTTCCTAAATCAAATGAATGCCAAAGTATTCCTCTGCCTGTGATGTGGGAACAAAAAGCAGCAGAGCTCTGTGTAATGGTTTGTTCTTACTTTGTGCCCCATACAGGTGGTGATGACCGTCTGGTGAAACTGTGGGACTATAACGAGGGTGCAGTGACTCATGTTGGAGCGGGCCACAGTGGCAGCATCACCCGTCTCAAGATCTGCCCTGGGAAGAAGTATATTGTGAGTGTCAGTGCAGATGGTGCCATCCTGGTTTGGAAATACCCAGACTCGCGCTAACAGCTGGCACAGGAGCTGCTAGGCTGCTCCTTCCTCGGCCAGACCTAGCAATCCTTTTCTCTTACCACTGAGGTTGTTTGAAAGCATTCCTGCTATTAGAGGAGATACTATTTTCATACTCTCTGTTATGCATTTACCAGATCCTTCAGATATCCTTTCTAGCACTGATTTTTTCAGGGCAGCTAAAAACTTGTTGTTCCTTTTAGATGGGAGTGAAAGGATTCATCACTCCTGAAAATCATCTTGGCTGTTCTTTCAACACTTGCATGTTGTTACTGCCACCTTTCCTGGTAGCCTCCTAGCATAGTCTTACTTGTACGACTGCTCATTTGTGGGCTCTCTTTCTCTTCCCTACCCTCCTTTGTCCCTTTTTCTAATGAATAACTTGTTGTGTAAATTCAGTCTTCTGTGTTCATTTTAATTTGCCCGGTCCTGATTAAAGGAAAATCCCTCAGCTCCAAGTCAGGCGTTTAACTGGGAAGCTCTTTTGAGCCAAACTTTTAAATCAATGTTCTCAAAGGAATACAAGGACGTCGAAGCTTCTTCATTTGCATTGTCCAATTTAAAACTCTCTTCAAGGGCCTGGTTTTCAAGAGTGAGAGTGCAGGCATTTTGAAGAATGCCTGGATGTTTCCAGCTAGACACACTCAGATTCCTGGTCATTAGCCAAATTTTTCAAACAGGCTCCGAATTTGGATGAAATATGTATTTAGTCTGAGAATGAGCACTCACTATCATATCTAGTATTAAAACCAACAGCTCTCAAGATATTGTTTGTTTAAAGATCAGTGTAGACAGCCAGCCTGTGAAGTGATGCAAGTGAAGTAAATATTTCTTTTGCAGGCATTGAAGGCCCGTGAGAATTCTGCCATAAACTAAAATGGTAGCAAAATGTTGCATTCCTTAATGTTAAGGCTTAGAGACGTTTTAGTGAACTAAGATGATGGTTTAAAGGCAGTATCAGCTCCATGCAGTCATACTGTTAATGTTTATAAATATGGAAAGGGTGACTGTCATGAGGATGGAGCCAGGCTCTTCTCAGTGGCATCCAATGATAGGACAAGGGGAAATGGATATAAGCTGGAACATAGGAGGTTCCGCTTAAACACGAGGAAGAACTTCTTCCCAGTAAGGGTAACAGAACACTGGAACAGGCTGCCCAGAGAGGTTGTGGAATCTCCTTCTCTGGAGATGTTCCAAACCCGCCTGGATGCGTTCTTGTGTGATCTGATCTAGGTGGCCCTGCTCCGGCAGGGGGATTGGACTAGATGATCCTTTGAGGTCCCTTCCAATCCCTGACATTCTGTGATTCTGTGATACCTGGATTGATGGTATTAGCTGTTCTGGTAGGCAATGGCAGACAGGAATTTAAATGATTGCTCATTACTCTTTATATGCCACTAAAAACATTTATTGCTCGTAGCACAATAAGGCTGGATCCTTTTGGACTGGCTCAGAGGGTATCTGTGCACGTATGTTGTCCATCAAACACTGTGCAACTCGTATTCCTTCTGGTTGAAATGTCTCTGCTCTTTCTAATGGAGTCTCAAACGAAGGAATTAAGTCATTTCTTCCTCTTTTCCTTCAGAGCCAAAAACTGATGCTGTGCAGTGATAAAGGCTCTAGCAGGTTTTACAAGCTCTGCAGCAATGCTCGCTGTGGTTTGGAAGGCAGGATCAAACCGCTGCAATGTGGGACAGACAGGCAAAACATTTCTGCTTGTGCTAGGAGAATGAAAGCAGAAGTCAGCGTGTGAGAGCTCACCAGGCAGTCTCGCAGACCCTTGTCACCGCCAGCGCCCCGTTCCCTCCGAGGTACATGGTTTTGAGATGCAGATAACTGTTTGGCAGAGTCTCACATCAGTAAAGCAATTCTGTTCCCATCAGATCACGCCAAACCTGTCATTATAGGTGGGAGGAGAATCCACGTACCCATTGGGGAGCCAAAGTCCTGTTTCTGCGTGGCTGTTCCTGGGGGTGTAAGGACCAAAGCCCTGCGTGCTCCTCCTGCTCTGGCTGATTCTTTATGGCCCAGAGGAGAGGCTGTCCTGACTCACCTGGCCACAGTCACCCGTTGACTCTGGGGGGGACAGGAGTTTGAACACTAAGAGTAAAGGCTGGTAAACCACACTTTGTGTTACAGCCAGCCAGGAGGCTTAGGCTCGGTGTCTATCACCTTACAGGTTTGAAAACTGAGTGTGCAGAGCCTTTGGAGAAGTCCTGTCCTGCCCATCTTTCTTTTCAGTGTGAAACAGCATCACTTTATTGAAACCAGCTCAAATTTTAAGCATGGACACTGGCTGAATTCCCTTCCTCCAGCATCGCCAGCTGATGTAGGTCACTGCGGCAGGTGGTGCTTGGTACACAGCAGCAGCAGCAGCACAGCATCCCCCCTGTCATGGCACAGCGTGCACACTGTGCTCCGTTAGACCCCCCCACCCTAGTGTCCATGAGCAAAGCTGTGCCATCAAACCCTTGCAGCTGTAGGGGTAGATGATTTGGGGCACCGACTCACAGACTGTATAGGAAATAGAGGCGACAACCACATGGGCTGTAACAAGCTCCTCTACGTTCCAAGCAGCGCTGAGCTACGCAGCAGCTCAGCAGCCCTCATTCCCCCAGCACCACCTTGCCCCTCCCGACACACCTCGCACAAGTGCTAAGAGCCGTACACGTTCCTCACCAGCATGGCCGGAGTCCCCAGGGAGCCCCTGGAGCTTTACAAATGGATGTGACCTACATCAATAACACCGAGAAGCAGACATGCAGAGCAACCGGTGCTGCTCTTCCGCCAGAAGTCAGGTTGTGTTTGGAAAACATGAACTGCAGTCACAAATTTCCCCGTTATGTGTTCGCCTGACGGCAGGCACGTTGTGTTTTACAGCGGGAACGTGTTCGTTACGCTGTCATTAGTCACGAAGAACAGCCCTGTTAATAACAGATCTGTAACGCTGGCACGTGGAATCAGCCACAGCGACTCAGGGACTACTCTGAAGCACCGGGGACTTTCAGTGCCCCTCTCTCTGCCAAAGCAAAGGGAGCCAATGTTGCTCCAGTTGTACCAGGAAACAGGTGTTGCTGGCAGAAGGTATGTTTGCACACCCGTTGCATGTGCTCCTGACATCTCTGCCCCTGTATTTAGCCGAATTCTGATCAGGAGGAGGAGTGGCCAGGGACAGGGCAGAAATGCACGGGCACTGCCGTTGCACCAAGTTCCCTTACGGTGTCTGGATGGACTCCAGTGATGTTAAAGTGGAGTTAAATTCTGGTCCCTGTGGGCCTGGGGGAGGAGGTATGAGGGGAATGTCAGTGAAAATCAGGCGTGTACTGCGTTTTGGAAATGGCTTTAGAATCCTTATTGTCAGGGGAAAAAAAAAGAAAGTTACACTAAACAGACTTCGGTGATGTCTGACTCTTGGTGAAGGCAGACATCAGCTTTAAGGCACTGGGCCAAGTGATGGGAGACCCAGGTTTCCAGCTGTACCAGCAATTCACAGCACTGCACTGGAATCAGAGCCCCTTACCACCAAGAATTTGGCTTCCAGCCCCCAGCTGCCCTTCCCCCTCTGTGAGCTGCTTCTTCCTGGGCGCAGGTCGTGGGTACCGCTGATGGACAACCCTGCAGAAAAGCTTCCATCGCCCTTCTTAATTCTGCCCCTCTGCTCTGCTCTCGTAAGACCCCACCTGGAATACTGTCTTCAGCTCTGGAGTCCCCAACACAAGAAGGACATGGAGCTACTCGAACGAGTCCAGAGGAGGGCCATGAAGACGATCCGAGGGCTGGAGCACCTCTGCTATGAAGACAGGCTGAGAGAGTTGGGTTGTTCAG